TTCACCTTCTAATTTTTTCAAATTTTTTTTCCAACTTTAAATTTCTGTTTCTTTTCCCAGCATTACTCTCCCTATTCATCTATGGTTTTTGTTTAATTTGTATGAAGGTCTCTTAACTACAAATTTCATTGTATTATGTAGTGGAAATAAACTTGTCTAATTTTGGTTATGAAGTAGACAAAAAATCATGAAACTTTATCCACTTTATCATGTTTGAAGACGGATTTGAGGCATTTGTGACTTTCTGTTTTATGTTATTGTTTAAATTTGTTAGAGTAATTCTCTCTTCTTTTTTGTATTTTAAAAAATATGAGAGGGTATTACTTTTTGCATAAATCAGGAATTGAAGCCTTTAGATTTCAGCATCATGATTATGGATTATGTATTCTGTAATTACCATGGAGTATTCATTTTAGCTTTGTTTTTTTTCAAACTTGGTTGAGGCTTACGCCTCATTCCGCCTCGAGGCTTACGCCTCAAGGCATTTTTCTCCACCGCCTCGAGGCTCGTTTTTGCCTTTCAAAACCTTGCTTTACATATCCCCCCCCACCTCCACAAATCACTTCCCCTCTTGAAATAGCTTTCTTGTTTGATTATGTAGGGATTTCTTGCTTTTTGTTTGCAAGAACCCACTCATTTTCGATACTGGAGATGCCTTGCGTTGGTTCTGGAAGACGGCATCGTTAGACCACATGTATAGGCTCCAAGATATTATGGACTATGATGATATCTTTGAGCACTTCATGAATCGGATGCGAGGCTTTATCTCGGGGATTAATGCTAGTGCAGGGCCGTTTTATGATTTGAAGATGTACCTATCTCAGAGGATGTCTCATTCTTTACCTGCCCAGTACACCCAACCAACGGAAGTAATACGCTATATGGGAAATGCCATCCGCCATATAAGGGATAGAAGACCATATTACACTGATGAAGATATTGTTTTAAGCTTAATGTACCTAATTCCTGGCATTGTTGTCTCTATTCCCTTCCTTGCACTTGCTGCGTCACTTCACCATCCGGGGTGGTTTCCTTTGTCGGCGGGCTGGTAAGCATTATGGTATTGCTTCTCACATCATTAACAATATTATGATTTTGTGCATTAATGGCGTGTTACATGTGTTTTGTGTAGGGAGACATATGGGAAATTTATGGACCAAGGGAACACATTCTGCCAGTACTTTCGTGGAAGATAAATGGTGTCTTTTTCATGGATGGGATAATGCACTGTTTGTTTTGGTTTTGTTTGATTTGTGTTTTCAGATCTGAAATGGGCATTCTTAGTATTTTGGATTCATGCTTAATTTTATCCTAACAGTCTCAAATCCTGATTCGTGCATATACATGGAGGGAATTATGAATGTGTATGCATGATTATTGGTGTCAGATATTTCCAGTGTAGAAATAACTTGCTAATCGTATTTCATGGACACTATTATCCGCTATGGAAATTTCTATTGGTCTCCATATTAATTTCCTATTCTGATGTGAAACTAATACTGGCTCCTGAGTCTACNGTTTTCAGATCTGAAATGGGCATTCTTAGTATTTTGGATTCATGCTTAATTTTATCCTAACAGTCTCAAATCCTGATTCGTGCATATACATGGAGGGAATTATGAATGTGTATGCATGATTATTGGTGTCAGATATTTCCAGTGTAGAAATAACTTGCTAATCGTATTTCATGGACACTATTATCCGCTATGGAAATTTCTATTGGTCTCCATATTAATTTCCTATTCTGATGTGAAACTAATACTGGCTCCTGAGTCTACGTGTGCAGAGTAAATATTTCTTTTTAATTTCTACTGTGATAAATGTTGACTTAGGATTATTTCTAGAAATTTGATTTAGTAGATGATGTGTCCTCACTAGAGCTACATGTTTGATGTTCTTCTTCTGTTTCTAATATACACACTTTTTCTGAATCTAGTGATCTTCAAAGTGAGGTTCTATATGGGATTATGGGTTCTAAATTATGTTGATATGCCACTTTAAGTGTTTTTTAATTATTTTGTTTCCCCCTTTTTTCGGACATTTGCTACTAACACGGTAACACCTACATCTCTTCTTTAGTTCTTTCCTTCTGGACAATAGGGTTGTCTACTAGTTCGTCTCTTCCTAAAGAACCTTGTGGGTGTTTGCCTATAGATTGTTTTTAGGGCCATAAATGGATAGCCAAAAATTTGATTACCGTCCGTAAACATATTTGTTTATATGCTTTTGTTAAAAGTGGTTATTATTTGTATCCGATTAAGGATACCTGATTGTTAAAGGGATACAGATTTGGTAATCATAAATTTGATCCGTTTATAAATCCGTTCTATATTGACATCCGTTTAAATAACCGTTTATGCGTGTATTCGATCCGTTATATAGTTTTTCTAAATGTTTTTTACTTTTATATTTTGTTTATTTATTGATATCTCAAAGTATAAGACATTTTTATACGTAAAATACTAGTTTTAATCCCGTGCTTCGCACGGGCTCGTATATAATCTAAGATTTATACCTACGTTAATGTAAAAATACAACCTTAATATAAGCATAGTCTTATAGTTTAATTGGTTACTATTATTATAATAGTATAACTATTAGAACAAATATTATAATAGAAAAAATCTTAGTATACATAATAATGGTACAATAGAAATTTAATATAATATGAATTGTATTTTTACGTTCTATACTAAATTGAAATAATACAAATTTAATATATTATTTTAAATTAGTCCACTCTTTATCATATACCAAGGCACAATCAATGACTCTTTTACCTCTTTTTGAAATTGACCAAGTCTTCGTCATGATTCTTACCGTGGGTTTTTTACTGGGTAAGAATCCAAGTCTAAAATTACGGAATACTTTACAGTACTTTTAACATCAAATAGAATAAAATTTGGCGTAATAAGTGAAAATGAATTTAGTTTCCATGGTACTCCATCAACCATTTGCAAGCCATTTTGACCACTACACAAAATATGAAAATAAAGTATTAGTAACCTAAGGGGTTTTCACTCACAAATAGATACCATAGTATAAAAACTCCAAATCATATAGCTCTAGCATCAAGGAGGACACATTTCTAGCATGGCATTCTTATGTATCACTTCATCATCGCTGCATACTTGAACAAAAACATCATGTAGAATAGGGAAAAAGCACTTTACTCTTCGTAACTCATTAGTAATCCATAATAATTAATAGCCTCAACAAAAAAGAACTTATTAGTAAGTAGTTATGGCCCTAAACATGCACAGGTAGACACATATATAAAACTGAAAAAACCTTTTCCTGATCTTATTTCCCTAAACATGTCAGAGAGTATAGTCGGATATCACCAATGAATCCCACCAGATGATGCTTACCGAAATGACAATTTTGTAGACAACCAGGTCCACAGCCTAATCGGAGAAGGATATAAATGTGACATGAATAAAGTATTGTCCATCTCCATCTATTGGGAACCAAACAACCTCCGTGCTAGATTCTTAAAAAAACTTCACCAATAAAAAAGCACACGAACAACAACCTTAAAGAGCGAAAACTTTATATAAATAAAAATTAAACATATTTATATTTATATTTATATTTATATGATCATTGTATCATATCTTGGAGACAATACAATAGCAAAACCAACTGCTTTTCCCAGCTTCAAAAGCCTGACTTGTACTTGATTCAAATATACCTTATTACCCTGGAAACACTAAACCAGCCCACAGAAATAGTGAGTCCTAATAACTTCTAAAAAAGTCAATCATAGAAAGCCCTTGTAAAGTGTTTCTAAAGCTGCTGAAATTTTTTTGTAGTTACATAGTTACATTTTTCTAAACCCCTTGTAAAATTTTTCTAAAGCTGCTGAAAATTCCATAGTTACATCTGATATTGCAGCCCCTCAATATCACATATGGTAGCCTCTCAACCTCAACTTTTGCAGCTCCTCAGAATCTATAAATAAGCTGCAAAACATGGATTTATAATATATCATCTACCTACATCCACCCTCATGACCATAATCCAAAATACTCAAGCTCAAGAATCTTGTCTCAGCAAGTTTTAGTTTAATGATGCAAAATTTAAAAAACATCATCAACATCTAAAAAACAAAATGTGACTGTTTTTTAATCTACTTATAATTTCCTTAGAATCCAGATTCAAGCATCATCATCATCAAAGGTGTGCCAAATGATTATATATAATGTATATATAATCATTTTGATCCGACAATAGTATATTATAATATAACGTTTATAATAGATAATCATTCAGGGAATTATTGGAAAAAGCTTCTTTTCAACAACAACAACAACAACAACAACAACAACAACAACAACCCAATTGAATCCCACTACAGTAGGGTCTGGGGAGGGTGTGTGTACGCAGACCTTGCCCCTATTTGAAAGTAGGGAGGCTGTTTCCAAAAAGCTTCTTTTCATTATTCACATTTTCGAGTTATTTTACATCTGATACACTATTAACTACAAATCTTTTGACTTCATCTAAAAACGTGAAGAAGTTAAAAATGTCCTTCAAGCAGTGGGCAAATGAACTTCTTAAGGCTTTAATATTGATTTCTCTAACAGATGAACTAAAAGCGCAATGAGAAATGGCATATTCAAGAACATCAAGGTAGGCATTCATAATAAATTCTCTAAATGGTAAACTTAGAGGCATAATCCAACAACAACAGCTAAGCCTTATATCCCAAAGTGCTTTGATGAGTCCCAAACAATGTCCCCCTTATACCCAGCCAACTCATTTACCAATTGTGCAAGCTCTTTTATGCTCACCTCTTTTGTTCCCACAACCCATCTCAACACTCAAAGCAGTAGGTTGATAACAGTATAACACCAACAACTCATCTTGTCCATGTGTCCTTTATGTTAGACCAGGGTTTAAACAGTTTTAGGTGTGTGCAAAAGATAAAAAAGTCTTACAAAAAGAATAAGGAGATGATCGAGTCTCGATCATATGAATCATGAATAGAGTGTGAAGACTTTAGCTAGCACTTTAGCAGGCTAGGGAAGTACTACGTTTTTTTGGGATAAAATTCATGATGATTAGCAGAATGTGCTTTTTGGCTTTATATTTGCATGTAGGAGCATACATATGAGTTCACAGTGGATAAAATTGGCAAGCCGTGATTCCATTGGATACATGACGATGTGCAGGAAGCATGGGCGCAATAGAAAAATATTAACAAAAAACCAGACTGAAGGATGCGAATGAGTAGAACAGAAGGTGTACATGCCCAGGAGTATCGTTTTGATTAAGCTATTATAGCATCATAATTCATAATAGAGGTTTCTATTTCCATGATATATATATAATCTGCACAAAAAATCAAACAAATTAGGAAGTTGTAACACCACTGTAGAAAAACATTAAAGAATGTAGGAAGTTCTACTAAGTAAACACCACTATAAAAAAACATTAAAGAATGAAACAATTGTCGAGCATAAAAATTCTCAATATGAGTGCGAGCTTAGAAAAACCTTGACAGGAAACCTCAAGGCTGCCATAAATGGCGAGTGGTGTTTAGCACCATTGAGTAGAACAGAAGGTATACACACCAAGGAGTTGAGTATCGTTTTGATTAAAGCGCTGTTATAGCATCATAAGAGATGTTTTGATTTCCATGAATTATATATAGTCTGCACAAAAAAAGCAAATAAATTAGCCAATTACACATTATATAGAAGACAATCCTCACAAATCAACCAAAAAGCCCCCAACAAATTGTATAAAATACTCAGCAATGCTCAATTACACTCCAACAATGCTCACGTGAATACCTAAAGGCTTTCCCACTCTTCTTCTAATAAATGTTGATCATTACACATCCTATTAATTAGAATTCAAGGAACCTCGACCCATAACCGTTTCAATTGTAAACTCTTATCTATACCATCAAATCAAATATATAATAAATGCATAAGACAACCCAAAAGACGCTTGAAACTGTGGATTCTATGCCGGCGGAGGGATTCGGGCAGGCTTAGTCGAGCGTAGAAGTGCGATGAGAGGAAAGAAGCTGAACACTCTATGCAGGCGAGAAATACGGGCGAGCTTAGCCAGACGTTCTATGCTGTGTGATGAGGAAGAAGCTGACTGGCAAAGAGATTTTCGCCCTTCAATTCGGTGCTTCCAACTTAAACATCCTTAAAATGGTTAACCCAACCAAATTTCATAAAATCATCTGTTAAACCTACTGCTAATGAACATTTAACCCTCTTGATGACTAAGCTTAAAAAAGACACATGAGAGACACCACGTAGGATGACACATGTCATAACGGAAATTAAACCGCTCTGCTTTATAAATATATAAAGCAGTTGTTTCATAGAAGACGGTGTGGGGTCAATGCTCAGCCGGCTGAGGTTGTCTTCTTTTCCTCGAAAATGAGAGCCCATATGGAAATGCCAACACCAAGGCAAATGCAGTTAACACACTAAGACTCATAACAGTAGACATATGAAGTCAAAGACTATTAGTGTTATAGTGGAGACTTATTAATAAAACTCTTTTTTAAATAGAGTGACTGTGATTTTTGACTGCTGCAGGGTATATACTGTTGGGCAAAAAATGATATTTCCACACTAAAAAATGTTTCATAAACCATATAAATGAATAATCTCATTAAACGGAATGAAAGGTTGAAGAAATTGCCACCAAAATTTAGAAATTTAAGTGATAAGCACCCACATAACTTATACTCTCAGTGTTCATTTCTTCCCTACACGCGGAAAAAAGTAAATTAGTGAATGTTTTTTTAGCTAAAATCCTTAGAAAGCATTAAGACTTCTTAAATCACTATTAATAATATATGAAAACAACATCTACCAAAACAAATACACATTATTTGTAAGCTTCATGTGGCAAATTATAACCAATTAAACTGTGTACCCCAAATGTACACCGTACCGCTTCGTACCGAAATGAACCTACCCCCTTCTTACCAAATTTATCACCCCTAGCGAATTTTGTACCCGAATCACATAATCGTACCGGAACGTACTGCGATTTAGGTGACTATGGTTCCTTCCGCCTTAGGGGAATGTTCCTTGGTGGGTTGTCATATAAAATGATGTGGATTGCAGCAACTATGGTATTCTCAATAGATTCAAGGACACCTTCCGGTTCAAACTGCTTGATATCAGGGTAGAAAAGTATTTTTGAAACTCAGCTAGAGGCAATCTGTGTTCTTCAGTTCTTTGCTTAATTCATAGCATTTGTTTAGTACACAATCCGGTTTTTGCAAAGTAATTGCATATTCAAATAGAATACTAAAAACTACAAAACATCCCAAATACCCAAAAAGGGGATGGCACCCCANCCCCCCCCAATGGCCCAATCATCTCAAAACAACATGAAACCATCATACACACTTCAACATTAATACAATGCAAAAGACTCCAATAACGCACATACACACTTAGCCACAAACAGGTTCAGATACTACTCGCGGAAAATTGCAGTATTACTCAAAATAAAACAACACACCCTCACTACTTACGATGAAACTTACCTCAGTACTGCATCACTGACCATCTTCTCACATTTATTACACACCAGAATTTCATCTTGCTTGCCTTAATTAACCTCTTGCAGTGCCCACGTGTGTTGTAGAACCATCCATTATTATTGTCTATATCATATATCATATGTTAAAAAAATATCTTAATGGGCAGTTCTTTTATTAAAAAAATTTAGGCTCCCAATTGAAATTCAGTGAGAGGTTAAATATATACTGTATCTACTCTTGCGCTCAGATTATTTTTGCTTGATTTAAAATTATTTTTTCAACAATTCAAACACATTTTAAGAGGCAAGGAATGAGATTCACCTTGGTAAGGATGTTGTCGAGAAGCTCATTTTTAGCTTCCGATTTGTTAGCCTTCATTGGTTGATTTTTAATTGTCACAAACCACAAAAAGAATTCTGAACAATTACTAAAAGTCAAAAAATTACGTCTACAGATAATTTAAAAATAGATAAAACAAAAATGATTCCAGATCAAAAACACCAAAGTGATGCATTTCGTAGATATGCTATTGAAGATTTCCATACACCACACAATTGATGTTGCTCGTGTTGTTAGGTGTGGGTTTTCCCTCGGCCATAACCTATACTCTACGATGTGCTAAAAGTTCACCAAAAACAGAAACCTAGTATTATAAATACTCCTGAAAAAGAAGTGTTTATTATTAAAAGAAGTATACTCTATATTAAAATTCACCATCGTAAGAGAGAATACACTGAAAACTGGAAACAAAATTAGACCCCAATTGTTGTTTATCACATATAGGTCTTAATGACGGTAAACCAATACTCAAATACATCAATGCTAAAAAAAATTCTAAATGCATCCTTCAAATAAATGCTTAAGAAAGTGATAGCAAATGAATTGCAAAAAACATCAACGCACAATGAAAAATCCAATCAATACCATCATACCGATAATTAATAGTTCGTATATTCTATGTACCTGTAGTGAATATCCCAAAAGGCTCAAGAATTCCTGGCATCACTCCTACATTTGAAAACATCCATTCGCACACTCAAACCTGAGAGAGAGAATCAGTGCGAGGGGGTGTATGCAATGGGCCAACGATGGTGCTCTCATGAGTTTATTAACAAAAACTCATTTCTGCGATAATGATGTAGCTTCTATTTCCATACGCAAACTTTCAATTTCAACATCCCAATTCTCCTCTCAGCGCCTTTCTTCCTAAATCGCAGTCAGGGGTTCACACTTGAAACGCAAACCAAAACCACTAAAAAAATGAAAGCTAAGCTATAGGGCAATATTATGGACAAACTAACAATCAAACAGCTGGTGTGCCATACCTAATAAGAAGGAGGGGGAGGGGGAGGGGGAGGGGGAGGAGGGCAGTCTAAAGCCGATGAGTTATCGAGGCAAGATAGGTTGTGGGAGAGAACGAAGTCATGAAACCAGAAGTGGGATCCTCCTAAGATAGGGAGCCGCTAACCAAAGCCTGACCGAACCACCGCCATGGCAACTCAATTTCATCTCCAACATTGAGAATAGAAAACTCCGTGATCTGGCCATTACAACATACACACATGGATCCTATGTGGAGTACACTTGGCAGCCCCACAATTGAAGAACTCAACTTTATATATTTATATATATATATATATATATATATATATATATATATATATATATATATATATATATATATATATATATATATATGATATATGATATCATTTGTCTTAGAAGATGTGTTGAAACCAAATGGAGCAACAAATTCAATATAAAGAATGTAAAGTACTAAGTGCTAAATATAAACTTATATTAAACATACACAACAAAACAATAACTCCACTCATGATTTCTATTTCACAGCCAGACACATTTTTTTTAATACCAATATCGTATTTGGAGTGTTATATGTAGTTAAAAAATATCCTTTTATATTTTAAGAATAGTTTATAATTGATTGATCAAAGAAATTGAAACATTTAATCTAATGGAGAAATTAGAAAATAACTTCTAACACCATACTCATATTACTCAGCAGCCAAGAATGCTCTTAAATATTTTACAATAGAAATGCTTTGAGACTCTAAATGGACTTGTACGGAAGTCAAAAAATGAGAAAAGAATTCTCAAAGTAAATTATTGTTCTAAACAAATCACAAATTTGGATTTTACAAAAATACTAAAGCTATTTATCTTGATTAAATGAATACAATTGTTTGTCTACTCTAAGAAGCACAAGTACCTGATGAATCATTACGATTGTTGAAATTGAAAAATTATATAATTTTAAAAAAAAATCATTCATCTCAGTTCATACATCATAGTACAAAGCGACGAATTGATTAGAGTTACCAGATCCATGCATGTGGGGAGGAGATGAATCAAAATAGTAATCAGAATTTTTGCGGCAGAGAAGTCGATTAATCCTCCCAGCTCCTGGCGAATTTTTGTGCCAAACATGAATACCTACCTGTGTAGATGAGATTAACAAATTCAGAGACATAGCATGATTGTTTGGTAGGTTTAAAACTTCACCAGAAAAGCAATATAAGGTATACAGTCCCCACTTCAATGAAAACTATGGATATATTAATTAAAGTACCCTTCCAAATAATGCAATAAGTATAAATACTACCTCCAATTTCTTTGTGATATTGTACACACTCATGTTCATGGCGGATTTGCCAATAATCTTCTTAGTTTGATCATTGAAAACTATGAATCTTGTACAGTCTGTGTCATCCTTAACCTCAATCGCAAACACTTTTTTTACAAACTAAGGTTAGAGTGACCAAAAAATAAAAAAAACTAAACACCAAGTTTAGAGTGACCAAAAAAATTAAAAGTACTCAAAACTTTATCTCCATCAAAGCCTTCAAGAACTTTTAAGTAATGACATAGGAAAGAACACGCACTTCAAGCTTCCCATCGCTAAGAAGACAAACTCATTTACTATACAAAGAATTCTACCAAAAAGGACATTAAACAGAGAAAATGAACAAAAGTGTGGCACTGATATATGAAAATTATAATATAGGGTGTAAAAAAAATGAAATTCACTCGTTAAAAAAATAGTAATAATAATTGCAGCACAATAGTTTTCTTATGACTCATTTTCTGTAGAATTTGATTACAAAAGTACAGTTGTAACCATCTTTGCACGACACCAACTTAAATAGCACATAGCGATTCAATTTATGTTGGAGCTGTATATAAAATCTTTCAATCAATTGAGGTTATAATTAGTTTCTCGAAAAAAGGAAAAAAGAATTGAAGGGCTGACCAGAATCGACGTGGATTTCTCCGTCAGGAGCGAAGAATCATTGTTATCGTCTGCGTTTTTCTCTTCCAATTTTTTTCCTCTATGCACTCACCTCAATCGTCCAGGAGCGAAGTGGATTTCTCCATCGAGAGAGGAGCTGGTCAGAATTCTCCTTCAATCGAGAAGTTGAGCAGATTTTCGAAGGAACCAAAAGTCACCCTATAAAACCCGCGTGGCGTGAAAAAACTCAGGTTTTCTCCATGTCAGCTGCCACATGTCAACCCCACAACTAAAAAACTCTACTTTATATATATACTAGTACTTTGACCCGTGCCACGCACGGGTCGAACAGATTTTTTGTATCGATTTTATAATTTTTAATTTCTTTGATATATTAAAAAAATTGACCTTAAACGTTAAAATAATGATACAATATATAATATTTTCTAAAAGAATTCTACTATATATATATATATATATATATATATATATATATATATATATATATATATATATATATATATATAATAACATGTCAAAGTCCTATTTAAATTAAAACATTTTGAAAAAATTTTGAGGTATACATCTTTGTATAATGTTATAAACCCATTTTGGTAAAAAAAATATGATTTCTCATTTCCTAGATTATTTGAAAATAATAATAATGACCATTTGATTATTCTTCTTTGCATTAATTAAAAAAATTAGATTACCGACCTTATGATTCAAAGAATATGATTCTTCTATCCCACATTGCCGCATTAATTTTGATTTCCAAAATAAAATGTATATTTTACTAATACATTTATTCATAATTATTCTAAAACATATTTAATTTATTTATAAGTAAAAAGTTTTGAGTGGATTAGTGAAATAAAATTTATATATTTATTAAAAGTCCAATCTCATGACAATAACCATACCTTTTCAGACAGCCAACATAAACCTGAAATCATTCCTCTTTAAATATTTATTAAAGAGAGAAATATTCAACATCTGTCAACACATTTTTTAACATGACAAAACATTTACTGGGATTGTCAATTCATATTCAAGAGACAAATATATCTGTCTAAAATCTTTTATACTCAGAAAATTACTCATCAAAATGCGATAGTATCAAAGTAGGCAAACACATGCAGTAGAGAATGTAATTCGGTTTAATCATATTTTTAATTATGAATGTAATATCGCAATCTATGAATTTAACAAAAAAATTGGGAAAACGATTGAAATAAAAATTGGGAATAGGATTGGAAAAAAATCAGGATCTCCAGAACACAATCGGGATCACGCGCAATCGCGGAAATCAGGAGGCCAAAATTAGATTACACAAAGTTTTTATTTGAATAATAGATGCATATGATTTTTGGAAACATACCTTGTAGTTCTTGACGCTTTGAAAATTTCGGATCGGAATCAAGCTTCTTCACAATTTTGGAGACTTTCCTTCATTGATGGAGTAGCTATAGAATCCCTTTCCTTAGGCGAAAAAATAACCCAAAAAATCAGTGATATTTTTGGAGAAGAATCGGGGAAGAAGATCCGATGAAGATTTCGGCCTGGAGAGTGAAGACGACGACGTTTTTTCCTTAGGAAAGTCTTCCGGCGGTGAATGTACAAGAATTAGACGCGTGTAAACTGACGTGTCAAAAGAATAAAGCTCTTAAATTGACACATGTCAATTTTCTACACATCAAACTCTCAAATATTATATTAAAGGATACATACTAGTTTTCTAACCCGTGCCACGCACGGGTCGAACGAATATTTTTTTATTCTGTACTATTTTTTTCTATGCTACATATTAAATTAAAAAATCTAAAAGTACCACCAAAACTTAAACGAAGGATATAATAAATAACATGCGGTAATGAAAATTGGTTTAGAGTCTATTTGGTAAATGAAATTAAATTTGAAATGCAGCACATGATCATTAACTATAAGAAAAATTAATACCATTTAACATAATTATCATGTGTTATAATCAATGCTAGGAAATTGTATGTTTTACTAATTCCTTTTTTATATAAAAAATATTTTAAGTTCAAAAAGTTAGTGTATAAAAATCTTTCAATTTGCATAATCACTTTTTTCATAGCTCTTGGTATCTCGACCATGAAAAAATAAGAATCTTGAATTTCAATTTTAGTAACATGTAATCCCCATAATTGAGATATAATAAGCAAATAATGTTTGAGTAACAAAAGAAGCCTTTCTCTATACAGTACTCCCCCCCTCTGTTTACTCATCCCTAACACATCCTTGATATGCCAAATCAGATAGTCCCTACTTTTCAATGAGTAATAGTGGCTACAGCAACATATTGAGCTTTGTCCACTACAGTATGTTATTGTGGGAGCCGACTGCCTCAGTGTGCATAATCGCTGGGTTCCTTCATTCCTGCTCGGGTCATAAAGATACAGCTGGTATCAATGGTGATGGCCACAGCTTATCTTGGCTTTGTTGCTACAGGTTCATGATTGTCATGTTACGCTCACCGCACGTAGCAGTCACATGTGCATTCCCTAGTTTGGCTAACTGTACAGCGTAATGCACCCCACCCGAGGCAGCCGTGATCAGAATGTTTACCCGCTTCCCCGTCAAAATACATCCCGACAATGTCTTTTAGAGCCTGATAGGCGGTTGCGCCCGCAATAGGTAGGCCTGCGGCTTCAGATGCTGAGACTTCCCGAGGTCTTGCCTGTGTTGAGTTATCCTCGGGTATATTCAGCTAGTCCTCCTACACCCTGTCAATTTTACCGATCAAACAGTATTGTTTTTCTAACACCATCAACAACTAACTCTATTACAATAGAATATCTGTTATAATTCAAACTTTGCTATTTGATAGCAAAGGCAAATGAGACAAAAGCAATGTATATATGATAGGAATGACAAAGAGTGAGGATACCTGGGTATGTCCTCTATTATGATTGCAAGGTTCTTGGCAGATTTCAAGCTAGGAATTTCATTAGGTTGTCTTTAGTTTCAGTTGCTTGATTCCCCTGCAGTTTGTCAGTCTCAAAGAATGAAAATGACTAATTATAACACCACTGGAAACTAATCAGTTTAGTACATGGATTGTCACTCGGTGTCACTTGACTTTTGGGATGATGCAGTTATCAATTTGATCATAGTTAGTACTGTAATCTGATCTACATACACATACACTGATACACCTAACCACGGATAAGAAATCAGATGAATATGTAAGCCTACACACACAGATTTGCCAAACAGAAATTGAGTGGCAGACACTGAAGGGACTCGGACTGGTGTAAACCATGTAGCTTATGCTTGGAGTTGGGCCTTTTTTCAGTCACAGTGAGATGTATGTATGTTGTTAAGGGCGTATAGGATTCGCCAGAGTTTGAGGACTCAATATGAAATTGTTAATCGCTTCCCCGCGTGAGTTTTGGTAAGATATGAATACGAATAGCAGAAATTAAGCGATTTGAAATCAGATGCCAAAAGAGTAATTGATTGCTAAGATGGAGGAGCATCGGCTTAGAAGGAAACAATACCTCAATTTTTGGAAAGAATGATCGAAATGCATCAAATCAAACTTCTCATTGCGAGCAATTGTTGCGATTAGATTCCAAATGAGAAAGGAAAGCTCATACGTTCTCTTAATTTTGGCGAAGAATCAATCCCTCTCGCTCGTGTAGAAGAAATCCGGGTGGGGAAGAAGTTTTATACTTTCCTTTGAAAGGCTTAGGTGAATGAATAATCTAAGTGAGAGGCACATGTCAAAAAATCTGAAACATAAAAATTGCCATATGTCAATTTTCTGGACATCAACCTCTCAAATTTATATATAAAAGATTTATACCTGTCTTTTTCGAGAGATTTTGTGCGTATGAGAGAGCGGCAAAACAGGCTCCTCCTTGGCCTTGCCGGCTGCTCACTTGACCTAATTGGTCTGGTGGTGCTTTCCTTGAGTATAGGCCAAGTAATTGCACACATTGTAGTCGTCATCTTCGTCTTGCATTGAAAATGATGGGAATGAGCATTAGAGCAGAGAGGGTAGATCATCCCACACTCAAGTACGGTAGCATCTCTTCCCAATGATGCTCCTGGACTTCCACAATGCACTGTAATAAAACAAAATGTATTTCCAAATAAATGTTTTCGGGTTTTGATTTTCCTAGTTGGATACCTTCGTTATCCTTACACCCCATGAAAGACATACCCCATATAAACATCTTTTTAATTCTAAAAAAGTAACTACCACTCAAATACAAACTCCCCAAGGAGCAACGATTTTTGGAAAAAAAAGTTAGGCAAAGGCAAAATGGTTGAAAAAAACTTCATAGGAAGAGTGTTTCAATAGGGCATGTTGATTTTATTTTTAAAAGTAATAAGTTAAATGCAAGTGAAATATCAACTACAATGTCATATTGGTGCTCATCAAGAAACCCTACAGCATTCAAGCAAGCTTTAATCCCTATACGAACAGAAATAAAATATTAGAACTAAATGTAATCGAGAGGAAAGAAAATTGAGCTTTTTATATTTTCAAAAATACTAAGCATATAGAGGATTAATTTACTCACTAAGACACCCATAAAAAAGTTGAGTACTCCTCAACATGCCCCTTTGTCATCTGTAGATGCAATAAGATGGGTTACACTTGAGTTCCAAGTCGTTAGTATTGTTACACCTGATAACCCTTCAAACTTAGAAACTCTTCTCAAACCTTGAAACAATAGCCCTTAAATTTAGAGATTATGTTAATTTCCTTGAAGCGTGAAAGAATGATACCACACATATTCTTAAATCACAAACATATAAAGTGGGTTCCCCTTTTTTCACCTTCGCAAAATCAGCACCAAGCTTATACCATTTTTTGTAAAAACCAAGCTAAAGATTAATGCCCTACAACTAAAGGGAGCAAAAGTCTCATAAGAGTTCTATCTTCTTTTTCGGACCAAATTGAAGACAACACCCAGATTATATTTTCTACAGCCAAAGAATCTAAAGACATTCATTAAACTTAATTGCTAGAACATAAACCAAAATTGACATTACAACACATGGCGCAGAGAGAGTGAATTTTACACCACTATTGAAATAAGTTGAATTGAAAACAACTCTAATTATAAAACATTATTCGAAACATGAAGATTAAATAGGGATGGAGGGAGTATTTTTGTACCCATACATATCATGCGTCTTAGAAAATTGAGAATAAGCATTAGATAAAATACTAAAAAAATTAAATTATGGATATATATTTGAATTTTCATTGTCCAATTATCAAACCATTATCTGGTAACTTTCTTCCATTATAGCACACATATATGCCAATTATAAAACACCACCCTTTTTTATTAAAAAACACTTACCTGAATTTTTCCAGCTCCACTAAGAGGCGGGACACACTATGCGCACTAATGTTTTCAACTTGTCCATGACTGCAAACTTGACTCATCGCACCTGCTAACATGAAAAATGATTTAGTATGCAAACGCTACAGAATCAACATTAATATAAAGACAAAGACGATGAAGGAAATGATGTATATTGATTGCAAAGGGAAAATATTTGCCCACTGAATGGTCTTCATTTAATGCACCTTAATAATACCCATTGTAAAAGCCATGCTCTTAAACTTTCGGTGGCATAACCGCTCAACCCCTTGCCTTCTTAGCAAAACTATCTAGCGATATATATGCAGCAGAACATTTCATTAGATGTCTCCAATAACACTCGTGGCAGGGGAACTCTATTATAAAATATGTATTCAATATCTCCCAAAAATTACAAATCTATAATATTGCAAAATTAAGAACACGTCATATTTTAAGACTCCAAAACTAAAGCATGAAGTACAACTGGACATTTAAAATGCAAAATTAAGTGAAAGTTTAATATCTAGCTAATATGAGGTGGATTAAATGAATTAAAACAAATAAACTCACATCTTCCTTTTGTGAAACATCTTTGATTTGTGAAAATCTGAGAGTATCAATATGAAATTGATATGAAAAAAATGAAAAATACATGCAAGTTTTTCATCTTCTTTTTCAGCAGCACACATCAATTCACAACATCTCATAGCTCGGTTGAGCCATCAATTCCTGTATTGCAACAGTAGGTTACCAAAGCATTAGTGTTTAAAAACGAAGCAATGGAATAACTAATATGTAGGCATTCAGTGTTCCAACATACCAAAGTAGATATGTGTTTAGAGCGGATTTACCTCTTCAGTTTAGCTCAGGAAAATTGCATAAGATAATACAACAACAAAAACAACACCAACAACAACCCAATTTAATCTCACCCGAGTGGCCTAAGATATTAAAATTTTCAAATTAAAAAGCATAATGGTTAGGGGTCCTTTTATTTATGAGGCTAAAAGTGTATGCTTTATACATGTGAATTCAACAAAGAGAAGATTACACAGTGAGCAGTAATTAAAATCTTCAGCTGCTAGAAAAAAGTTAAGCAGCATAATGGATGACCCCCAACCACCCAAATTTTGATAGATAAACAGAGCATAATAGCATTTTTATAGGTTCATCATACCATAATCATAAATGTATTAATCAATGAAATACCAATAAAAAATGTGGGAAAATTTAGTAACGAAAATGAACCCAAGCAACACCTATTTTACCTTTTTTACAGTCTTTCTCCTTGACATTCTAAACCTTGTTTATGTCATCATCATCATCATTATCATCATCATCATCAACTGGAGTCTTCTTCACTGGAAGAAATTCTTCCAAGACTGGTTCACCCAATGACTCCCTACACCTCTTCGACTCCTCCTTCAACACTGTAATCGCTGCAATCACAGTTCAAGAAAAGCAACAGAATCCATTAAAAGTTTTAATTTTTAACGCCCCATTAACATCTCTTTGACTTTGATTTCGATTTTCAACACGAAATCGAGAAAGATTCGGCCCCAAAAGGGTAAAAATCGCACACATAAACGGTAGAAATACCATCGGCGATTTCAGAATCCACAAAAAGATTCCGCAAACAATCGAAGAAGAATCATCAGGACTTTCCTTGCAGATTTGTTTTCCTTCCGTGAATATCTAACGCAATGGTGTAGATTTCAAAATCCTTACGAAGAATCAGATATAAATTAGGTATAAATCACGATTTTTATTATTTCAGGAAGCAGATTGGTATCAATCAACCCACCAATTCATGAAAAAAAAGAATTTTCCGGAATAAATTAGGGTAAAATTGGGGTGGCCGAAGAAGAAGAATGGAAAGTCGAATCGCAGTACCTGAATTTCTTTCCTTCCGTGAAAATCAAAGCAGCGAGGAATCAGGGCTGAATCAAATTAGTTTCCTAGCGTGAAGATCCAATTTTTTTTTACTTTCCTTCCGCTAAGAACGCGAAGAAGAAGGTCGATACTGCCTGGGAAGAGCAGCTAATAATTGGCTATCAAGAAAAAAAGATCCAATTTTTTTTTTACTTTTGTGTCTTCATTCTAGGCTATCAACTCTCAAATATTATATTAAATGATGACTAGTATTTTAACCCGTGCCATGCACGGGTGGAACGAAATTCTTTTTTATTATACAATATCAAATATTTTAACAACTTAATTTTTTTAATGTTATATGTCATTTAAATTTCACACACACATAGATAAATGTACACACACACAAAATTTAGGTTTACTAAATTATTACAAATATATAATTCTTCTCACCCCCTAAATTCAAAAAATTTACGACAAAAACATTGGTGATTTTATTATTCTTCTCCCCCGCATTAACGGAAATATATGATTTTAATTTCTTTGATGCATTAATGTGATTCTTTTTCTCCTTGGCGCTTTGCACTAACTAAAAATTGACTCTTTTTTCTTGTATTATTAAAAGTATGAAAACGTAAATTAACAATCATATGATAAGTAATATAAATTTTACAATACGTTAAAAATATAATGATTATTCTCCCTCGTATTATTTCAAAAATTATGTCAATGCAAAAAAAACATTAGTGATTCTATGATTTTAATGAAATTTTACAAAAACTATTTCACAATTTTTACTCATTTTTTTTTGCTTTTTTTTAAATATTAAATCATTTAAGTGTGTGAAAGTATTTTGGTCAATACATAATTTTTTATAAAATACAAAGAGTTACAATTTAAAAATAAATTAATTCATCTTTTTTATTGTATAATTAAAAGTATGAAAACATAAATTAACAATCATATGATAAGAAATATAAGTTTTACAATACGTTAAAAATATAATGATTATTCTCCCTCGTATTATTTCAAAAATTATGTGAATGCAAAAAAAACATTAGTGATTCTATGATTTTAATGAAATTTTACAAAAACTATTTCACAATTTTTACTCATTTTTTTGTTTTCTTTTTTTAAATATTAAATCATTTAAGTGTGTGAAAGTATTTTGGTCAATACATAATGTTTTATAAAATACAAAGAGTTACAATTTAAAAATTATATTTCTCTTTGATGTAGTAGTTTAACCTAAATCTTATTCACTTCTGCACATAAGATATTCTTCGTATTTCTCCTTAAATTACTGATTATCCTTGCATCTAAATTTTAATTGTCAGAGATCTTCACGCGTTTCTCAACCTCCAGATCTTAATTTTTCTTATAAAAATATTTTTTGTGAAAGTCCATGTTATATCGCTTCATCAATATTGTGAATTATTATCTAATATAAATTTATAAATGTTAAGTTACATCTTAAATATGGTAAGTTACAGTGCAAACCTTCTTTGATTAAAATAATAGGTCAAATTATTAGAAAAATAAAATACAAAAGTCAAATTAAATAATCCTGCTAAGTAATACTCCGTATGGTTTTAATACTTAATATATATAATTTTAATATAGGGATTAAGAAGTATTGGTTATTTTACATCACTATTTAAATAAATGAAATAAAGCTAACTTCTCTTAATCATAACATAAAGAAATATGAAATTTTTTTAAAGATAAAGAGAGTGGTTTATATATTCATTAAAACTATTATTATAAATGAAATGAAAAAAAATTAAAACAATATTCTAATTAAAAATAAATATCTTTCTTTCTTAATTAAATGTACTCAATGATAATAAAATCATAAATAATGTTAGTGTAATATAATAAGTCTATACGATATATTTTGTTTTAATAATTTGTCTTTTATAATATAATAAAAATAGGTTTAAATATGTTTTTATACCCTATAAAATAAGAAATTTTTTAGTCTTTGTAAAATATTTTTTTGATAAAGTCATCCCTACAAAATATTTTAATTTGAAAATAGTCCTTACCTTAACGTAATTAGAAGTTCTAATTAAATGAGATAGTACATTTATTTTATACTCAACATATTAATCATGTATTTCTAATTACATCCGATACAATTTCTAAACCCTAAATTGTGTACTTATTCATATTACATATATCTGGTTCTCAAATTTCTTACAAATATAATATAATCAAAATTTGAGAATTAAAAATGCAATTTCATAAAAGACGCAATTGTTGACATCAAAATTGTATCTGAAGTAATTGCAAATCTAAAACCAAGGTATTGAGTACAAAATAAATATGTTATCTCAACAACTTAAAAGTCTGATATATTTTACGTGCTTTAACAATTTATTTTCTAATATTCACATTTTTATAAAGTTTCATTGTAGTTTTAAAAAAAGTTTTTCTAATCTTCTCATATTTTAATAAATATAATCAAACTGACTGCTTTGATTTAAATATATCATAAAAATATAAAATTTATTTAGAAGTGAAGAAATATCTTATTAATTGCTTAGGGACTATTTAGTTAATTTTGGAGATATTATAAGATGTGGGTTATGAAAACTCAGATAAATGATATGGACTTTGTAATCTGAAATAATTTTATTTGGTGAGATTTAATTCAGGATTTAATTAGTAATAAGAAAAGGTGACTGGCAACGGGAGAGGTTGGCAGTGATAATGGTAGCGAGTGACGAAGAATGATCAATAGTTGAGAGAGATATCAAACCCCCATATTGATATCTCCTAAATTCAAGAGATATTGAGACCATCAATTTTATAGATTTATGATATCTGCAGATATTAAATTTGATAACTCTTTTGACTTCACCAAACACCAAAAAAGAGAAAAGGATAAGGATATCTAGAGATATAATAATTCAAAACTCATATTTTTTTGCTCACCAAACACACTTTTAGAATTTTTGTAATAATTGAATAGAAAGTTATACATAATTAGAAAATAACTTATTATAAAAACAAATATCTATATTCTCTTTCATAATTAATTGTACCGAAGAAATTCATACAATAGTATTAACTTCTTACTTTCTATAATATATTTTACGTGTCAGAAATGTCTCTTAAACAATATCACATCTCAGTTTCTTAAAGATTAAAATATCAATTTTATAAATAAAGGATCAATTATAAACATATTTGATCCTTTTCTATAAGAATACTTTTAAATGAGAATATATCATTATCAAATTTTTGTTTTTTGTGTATGCATTTAGTTAAAAATTTGATTCACAAAAAATGCTAGTGTAACACCCCAATTCGTATAACCCGGAATTACATAAATTAAGGTGAAACGAGGGTTAAATAAAAATTTCGCTTGACATTTGAAAATGACAATTACTTAAAAATATTAAATTTACAGACTCTGGATCGCGACCCATTTAAAAATATTTTCAGAGTAATGCGGAAGTACAATAATAATCAAATCACATTTAAAATCCGATGATCAAACATTTGCCTGCCATCCTTGCATCTCCTCTGACTCAATGCCCTCCGGGAATGGTTCCATCATTGTCTTCTTATTACCTACGTGTATTCAACGAAAAATACAAACTACACGTTCAGCAAAACCGCTGAGTGGTACCACGCTAGAATTGTAGGATGATTCACAAACATACACACACACACACACACACACACATATGTCCATAAAATGTATAATAATGTTCATGATATGGCACATTATATTATATGGCCAATTTGATGATTCATGATGATAAATATTTAATGATAATTATATGATGACACATTTAATCAATTCGATTGTTCTTGATGATGATTACATGAAGCCTATGTAATCAATGTAATTGTACTTGATGATGATAACATGATGCATGATTCTAACGAGCAAGGACACCCTTGCGCTATGAGATTCACCCATTTGGTACGACGAACTCATGCGGCCTTAGTCTCACAAGGGAGACTAGAAAAATAGGGGTGGTACTCGAAACCTGAATACCATGTACGTACACTAAGCCCGGAACGGGTGATGTCGGACTAATAAGTCCCGCACATCACGCTACAAGAGACGCAATTACGCATGATCTCTTGCGCATGCATATGATGTGATATGGCTATAAGAGACGCAATTACGCATGATCTCTTACGCATGCACATGTTGTGATAGGCTCAATATAAATGATGAAATGAATGACATGATGTGAACAATTTGCAAACAATATGAATATATAATTATGCATTAGTTTATTCGGATCAAACATGATTAAAATATCATTTAATAGAACTACTGGGTTCGGAACGGTCGACCGTTTGACGCGACGGTCGACCTTGATCTTCATCTCGTCGGGCTGGCGGAACACCGTGACGGTCGACCGCAGTTGACCAGCGGTCGACCGTTGTTGACTGGATGGCGAGGGTGCTTCTCGCCTGGGCAGGCTACGGTTGATCGTCAACCACCGGCGGTCGACCGTTTGGCTGACAGTCGTGGTCCGTTTTGAAGTTTAATATGACGGTCGACCGTTTGCGTCGACCGTTTGGGTGTGCGAATCTATCTCTTGATATTTTGAGTGTCCGAAATGCTTCTTTAAGTCTTTTAAACACCTTTGATTAATATATACATATTGTTGGGTTGATTTCAAAAGTTTATATATACTTATGTGTGTGTGTGTGTGTGTATATATATATATATAAACTTTATGGATTTGGTTTATTTTGGTCTTAACACAAAGATGACTTATATATGCGTCACATATTTATTTTGGGATGATTTCAACATATGGATTAACATATATGGTCATGTACGCATGTGATGAATGATTCGACAAATCTAACGCAAAGGTACAGACCTGGAAATCATCGGCCGAAACCTTACGGATGAGCGGGAGTGGAATCAACCTCGAAATTCACCAACTTTGTCATTTCCGTCATAACCGGACACCCTTCCGTATTTTGGGCATATCTCCATCGTTTCTTCACGAAATCGCAAACCGTTTGATTCTGTGGGTTCCTAAGATGTAAGGCTACATTTTTTGTATAGAAAGTATTTCGTTTTAACAGACGTAAGATAGCGTAAATTGGACCTGAAGTCAAGGGATAGTTGCTGTCCAGGATTTTGTATATGTCGATGAACACGATTCCGACGATTAGCTCACTAACTCCAACATTCCAACGCCGAACCTTCTCTAAGATACCTTCCGTATGTTCCTAATAATTTTTAG